CCTAACAAACATTCCAGGCGCCGCGGGCGGGGCGGACACGCCCCCTGGAGGGGCGTGTCCTGGGCTTGGGGCGTGGCTGTGGTGGGGGCGGGGTCTCCCGCCCCATAGACCGTGTGTTTTCCCCCAGCTCCTGCCCCATAGATTTCCCAGTTCGTTCCCTATGGACCCCCAGCTCCTGCTCCAGAGCCGCCCTTGCACCCTGCCCCGTAGAGCTCCTGCCCGCCCCAGCACCCTCTTCCTCCCCGTCTGTCCCCACATTCGGGGCACCCCATCCAGCCCCAGAGGGGGCAAGGGGACTGTGGGGACACCAGGGCCGCGGTGCCCAAGGCCACCAGTGTTGCGGGCAAGGGAGCGGTGAAGGGCGTCGGGTCTCAGCCTGCCCCACACGGCGCCAGASCCGGGGTGGGCGCAGGAAGACCCYGAYGGGGGAGCGGGGCGGCCGGGAAATYGGAGCCGGGCGGTTATTTAGGGAGTGGGGCAAAGCCAAGGCCACGGGCGGCCTCGTGACGCCCGTCCCGGGAAGCACCAGGAATGGCCGGAATCGCCCTTCGGACGTGCTGCTTTCCGCCCTCGAGGAATCCGCAGAAGCGGCGCCGGGGTGGGAAGCGGCTCCCGTGGGGGTACCGGGACACGGGACGGAGCTCAGGGAGCGGGACGGATGCCGCCCCTCCGCTCCGCACAGGCTCCGGCCGTCCCGCTGCCCATCCCGCCCGGCCGCCCCCGCTCCGGCCCCAGCCTGGAGCCTCTTTCTTGGAAAGGGGGCTGGGGCGGGGGGGGGGGAGCCGCTTTCCCGCAAATCACATGGCGCCGCTTATATAAATCCCGGCTTGTTTGCGCGCCCGGCCCGGCCRCAGGGAGGGGTTGTCCAGCCCTTCCCAGGGCGGCCCAGAGCCGCAGGGAGCCCCAGGGCCCCGATCCYGGTGCTGCCGGGATGCTCCCCCCAGGAATGGCTGGGTAGGAACCACCTCTCGCGGGGAGAAAAGGGGTATTTGCACCCGGGAATGTTTGTAGCATCCCAAAACCCTGTCCATCCAAGGGGCCCGGGGCTCCGGCTCTGCCTCCCTGGCAGCTCCAAAAGGCGGCAGAGCCAGCAGGTCTACCCAGGAGCCCACGAGCCCCCGCAGAGCCTCAAGCTGCTGATTTTGTCCTTTTTCAATGAAAACCGCTCAGAAACCTGCCAAGACAACAAGCACCCCCCAAAACACACACATATCCTGCTAGATGCYTGGGAGCAGCGAGAATCCACCCCCAAACCACCCCTGGGCCCCGGCGCCGCGAGTGCTTCCCTGGAAAAGCAGAGCAAAGCGGAGCCTGCAACACCCCGCGGCTCCGTCTGCCCTGGGCACCTCCGTGCCCGGCCGCCYGCCCAGCCCTGCCGCCCGCCTCGTGCTCCGTTATCCCCCCTAAAGCAGCAGGAGGCCCCGGGAACGGCCGCTCCGGAATAAAACGAATGGAAAGGTCAGGCAGGGGGCTGTGCCGGGGCGGGATGAGCGCCCAGGGATGGGGAACGGCAGCGCCGGGGGCCAACGCGCCCCAAGGAGCGAATTCCTCCCTGCTGCTGCAGGGCAGCACGAGGCGGGAAGGCGGGAAGCCTCTTCCCAAGCAGTCCAAAAGCAGCTCCAGCAGCATCCCGCATCCGCRCGCACAGAATTCCGAGGGGAAGAGCAGAGCAGAAGCCTCTGCCTCCCTCCACCTGCCTGCCTTGGCATCCCCTCAAARCCGCGCTTGGCTTTTGGCCTCTCAAGGGCCCCGAGGAGCCGCTGGCCGCGATTTTCCCAGCAGATTTCCCCTCCTTGGAGCTCCCGGCGGTCGGACCGGGATGTTTCTCCACCTTGGTTTCTGGCGACGGTGCCAACGCGACGCGGGGCGGCGCAAGCCCTGCGAGGGGGGCACTTTCGGGGCTCGCTGCTGCCCGCAGGTCCCGCGGCGGAGCTGGCACCGGCACCGCTTTTATTTTGGGCCCCTCATGTGGCCGGGAGCGGTGGAAACCAACCCGGGGCTGAAAAGAGAACATGAGGGCAGCGCGCAGGAACGCCGCCCCGCCGGCCCCGGGCTTTTGGCTGCTCCGTGGGGCCGTTTCCCCCCCAATCCGCAGCTTTCTCCCCAAATTTTCCCCCAATCCGCAGCTTTCTCCCCAGATTTCCCCCCAATCGGCAGCTTCCCGCAGGGAGGCGCCGGCAGCGGCGAATGAAGCCGCGATGGTGAAAGGGGGACGAAAGTCCAGCGAGACGGAGCTGCCTGCGCTTTCCCTTTGCCCCCCGAGTGGGAAAAGGGGCAGATTCCGGCCCAAAATAGTGAAATCTGCCTTATTTTTTTTGGCGGGAAGGTCGCGAGGCGCCTGCTGCTCCCCGTCCGTCCCGACCTCCCCCGTTACGCGGTTCCTTAGCTCACCGTGGGATTAAACACATAAATAAATGAATAATAACGACTGCTAATGACCATGATATAAAAGCGGCACGGCGCCAAGGCGGCGATGCGGCGCTGGGCGCAAAGCTCGGGCTCCCGCTCCGCTCGGGCGCTCGCCGCCACTGCCCCGTCTCCCGAGGCTCCGCATGCCGTTTTCCGCTCCGTTATATTCGCTCCCAACGCGGCTATTTCCCTAAAAACCTCCGGCAAAGCAAAGCGGCTCGCAGCTCCGCATGGCGCCAATATTCCCCAATGTGCCCCAATTTACAGCGTTCCCGGCGGGAATCGCTCCCGGCGCTCCCTACTCACCCGGAGCCTCCCGGGAGGATTGATCCCGGCGGGATCACTGTTCCATCGGCTCCGGGACGGGCAGGTTGGCGGCCGCCGCTCGGGCGACGACTCCCCCTTCCGACAGCCGCCTCCTTCCAGGAATTATCGCAATTATTTTTGTTTTGCTCCTCGCCGTTTAACCCCTTGCTGGCGGCGGCCGCAGCGCGATCCACAGCGGATATTTCCCTTCACCGCGATGCTCCGAACAAATATTTGCGTCGAGCTCGCCCGCCCTCCGGCCCTGACCCTGTTTTATTTATTTTCCACAGAATAAACACCAACGCTGGCAAATCCATGGGGATCCGGCCCCATCGGGGGGGACCCCAAGGGCCCCTCCGCGTCGCCGCTTGTTGTTCCAAAGAGGTGATTTTTGATAGGAAAATTCAATCAATGGGAATGAGGATTAAATTGG